CTGTTATCGGCGCGTGGTGGCAAGAAAGAGAGCTTCCGCTTGCGGGTTCGCGTATTTATGGCGCGGCGCTGGGGAAATTCTCAGTGGTGGGGCTGCTTCCCTCTTCAACCTTCAAAAGGAAAACATTGCTTGCAAGTTGCATCGTTAGTACGGGCAACGGAATACATAGGCGCGGTTAAGTACCTTGCCTTACGCGTCTGTTATCCTCGCTGCCTCCGTAGTGTTCACACATGAGACGGTGGTGTTATGGGGTTGCACAATCATATTATATATATATATATATATATATATATATATATATATATATATATATATATATATATATATTATATATTTATATATATATATATATATAATATATAATATACACACACTTTCCTTCATCTATATCCATTTTCGTGCAGAACGCTATGTTATGGCCCCAAAATGGCTAATTTGTTCCAGCATCGTATTTTCTAAAATTATTTTTGTGTGTATAGGATGTTATTCCACAAATGCCATTAATTTTGTCTTCGTTTTTGAAATCTTTAGATTATATCCTTGGCAAGTTTGGTGTAATTGATGAATAGACCTTATTAAGTCTTCTTGACTTTCTTGGATTATAATTTGATCATCAGCAAATAGGAGTGAATTTAATTACACTCCATTGTTAAGTTCATTTTTTTATGCTGATTTTGTTCTTCCATTCTGAAATGACATCATCCATCATTCAAGTATATTTTAAACAATGTTGGGGAAAGGCTGCATCCTTGGCAAACCCCTTAGTTTGTTCTTATTTCTTTTGAATATTTTTCTTCTAGTTCTAAAATAACTTAGATATTCTGATACAGAGATTTAATGTTATTGATGAAGTGGTGTGGGTAGCCTCTTTCCTTAATATCCCATAAAGAAGAGCGTTGCAATTTATCGAAAGCCCTTTTCATAATCGATGAAAGCCAAATGGGGCTTGAGATTAAACTCCCTACGCTTTCGTTTTAGTTGTCAGATGGTAAAAATATTATCTGTAAGTGCTCAAAATTCATGAAATAAATTTAAACAGCTCTTTGGACACACTGAATATTTTAACGAATTTTCTGTTTGAGAGTTCATCAAAAGGATTCTGAATATTATTGATAGGTCTCAGCAAGGCTTGTGCTTTGTTTTCGACATCAGCAAAGGATTCTAACACTTCAAGAGAGACTATTTCATCTATTTCTGAAAAGCATAATTCTAATGCTGTTATGCTGCATTAGGCAAAGTAAATTGACATTATACACATATTAATAGTGAAGATATATTATAAATATTATTTCATGTAGTAAGCCCTAGTTGTAATATTTAGTAACATCTATGAGCAACGTTATTAGATAAAAGTACTATAATTAGTTCCTAATTTACTAAGCACCTTCTCTCGGAATGTGAAGATAATGAGGTTATGTTAATACTTTTTACTATCTATGGGTATCTACTATACTATGGGTCTCACTGCTCCAAATTCAATATATATTGCGGTCTCGGCAAACATAAATTCCGCAGTACTACATTGCATAATGCAGAATCTTGTCTAATGCGAAAAAAAAAAAAAAAATAAATAAAATTAAAAAAAAAAAAAACTGGTCCTTTGAGATTCCGCCTTGAGTAAGTTTTAATATACTACTCAGAAGAACTCCCACTGCCACTCTGCACTTTTCAGGGGCCCAAGAAATAAACTTTTAAATCATGCGAACAGTGTAAATAAGAGGAAATAACACACAATTTGCAAGGCTGATATGGAGGAACTTCTTGTAGGTATTTTTTTATCAACATATACAACATGCTCAAAAGTCCAAAATACATAATAATAGATGGAGTAAGAACATTCACAAAGCTCTTGTATTATTAGAAAAGGCAAGAATTAAATATTTTATGAAAAATACAATTTTCCACACAATGCACGGTTTCATTATACTAATTTAACTGTTATTTAATGATTTTTGTAAAACATATATTTAAAGATGAGTCTTTATTATTGTCTATTTGTTAATCTTACAAATCTAAGTATAGCAAATACCTAGACTGACTTTTACATCCAAATTCTTTTACTTGTCCCATTGCTATAACATTAAATGTACTATATTGTCTTTTTCCTCAAAGATAGTTTCAGTTCAGTGATGTAAATTTTATCAGATAAAAGTTGATGCATGAAACTAAAATCGTTAACATTTCAGGATATTTCAAAGTATGTATTTTTAATCATTTGGACATAATTAAAAAGCGTGATTACACCGTGAATTTTATATAATAGCTTAATATGCTCAATGAGCAACGAAAATGTGTTGTTCCATTTTCTTCATTAGATTATCATCATGAGGAGATAAAACAGTAACTACAAAACAACTACATTTTCCCCTGTATTCCTTAAAACTGTTAAATTTATCTCCTACTGCATTTTGTGCTTGGATACTTTTGTTTCCTTTTAATAATTGTTAATTACAACATAACTTTTGAATTTTTAATAGCTTTTCAAGCATTGTTTTCTTGACCACAGACCTACACACCAACCTAAAACCAGTTGAATCCCTTCCAACCCTCTGTCCCAACCATAACCCAGCAATCAGACTCTGGAACCACTGAAGGTCTAAAAACAACCAACAAATCCTCAGCCGACCAATCATCCGCCCAACAAACGACGATCCCAAAACGAAACAACAAAGAACGAATTGGACTATTAAGAATCGACCTAATGACAATTCTTGACCCAACAGAACTGATCAAGGAATTGAAGACAAACTGTAACAACCACCTAACAGCCAAATGCACTCGGACGGAATTGGTAATTCAACCAATGACTGTGACTGCCCACGGAAAGATAAGGGACCGCCTGGACCAGATCAGTAGATCCCAGTCTAAAATGACTATTTTTTACTGCAATCTCATACGATTTCAACTGAGCCACCGACAAAGAGACAAAATTGTAGTAAAAGAACTCCCTGCCAAATACGACTAGATTGCCATCAAAGACAACTTGACCGCCTTCAAAATTACTACACACCACATCACTGAGATGAAACTGTGACGCCGATGGGACATTCACACCAATAGGCCTGTTTACAGTAGAGACAAAATAGAAATGACAGACATCAAGAAAACACTAAGATCCATTGACCATACTTTAGAGAACCCATTGACGGCTACAAGATCACAGAATACCCTAGTGCAGAAACTGCCAAAGACTTTACCACACGAAGGCCTATTGCAGAAGACTTGCGTCCTCTGCGCCGGTTCCCACCCGACTGAAGACTGTCCCTTCCATACTTCTGACAAACACTTCACCCCAAAATGCATCAACAGCTCCCTGAACCACCCAACCTACAACCCACAATGCCCCTTCACAGTGAAAATCAGAGAACAAGTACAGGTGACCAAATCCTTAAACCACCCACCCCCAACCATCTCACTCCAAAACTTTCCCCACCTAAAACCCCAAAACCAATCTTACGCCTCTGCCGTCAACCCAACTCGCACCTAACAACCTACAACCCAACAACAAACTACCCAATCAACAACCCAAGGCTCCCAACAACCCAAAGACCTCTCCCTCCTTCAAAAATCCCACCGTCAGAAAGATTCTCCTTAACCTAAAACCCCTCCTCAAAATCCTCATCATCATCATCATCATCACAAAGCTAATCACCGCAGGAATTAAATTAGTCGAAATACTCACTTAATGTCTCCCCCTCCCAGAATCCTAACTCTGCCCTTGTGGAACGTCAGAGGCGGCATAAACCAGAAAAAAAAAAACTTACCCAATTCCTTAAAGATTACTCTTCCAAGAGACGCAGCTGACACCTGACAGGTCCTTTTCAATCCCAAACTACACCACCACCAGGACGGACTGAACTTCATCCGCTGGAGGCAGAAAGGCAATCATCATTCGATGATCCATCCCCCACATCCCTTACCAACTCCCTCCAATATCCGTCCTAGAATGCACTGCAGTCACCGTTAGAACCTCCACAGGACTACGACTAGAACATTTTTATAGTCAGAAATCCCCAAATCAAAATAAAAGTCCCTACTGAACCTACCTACCTTGTTCGAGATATTCCCCACGATATCCTTGATATTATTATCCACTCCTCCCAAATACTAATAACCATCCCCCCTCCAAAATACGACCTGTACGACTTATCTGACTACCTCTCAATACTTTTCCCCAACTACATACTTCCCAAACCCCTTTCAATACTAAAAACCGACTGGAAAAAAATGAAACAAATACTACATAAATACACGTCCCTTCAGTTATCCCGACCACCCAATCCATAGACAACTCCGTTGATCACCTAACCCACCACATAAGACAAACATACAGAAAAACCACATCATACTGCAGAAAGGAACACCCCACCCTCCCTGACAAAATCCTCACCATAATGCGACATAAATGACGATACTACAAATAAAGACGAGACGAGGACAAACTAGAACTAAATATGGCACAAAATAATACACGACCTACTGAAACACCGAGAAATACGAGACTGATAAGTATGATGACCTACTATCTAACAAATGCAAGCCCAATAATATTCACAAAGTCATAAAAACAGTCAGGAACCATCCCACTCCTATATCCCCTATCCTAACCGACAACACCCTAACAATCGACCCCACCATCACCAATACCTTCGACCAATCCCTGGCCTAACGCTTCCTTCCTCCCAACATCCCAATCCCAGCGTTCTTTGGAACTTCCTTGAAGCCAACCCCTACCACTCTTCATTGTATATTCACGTTACAGAGATTTATGCATTATGTACACGTTGTGCATTGAACAAGTTTTACTGTATTTATATTGTGAACTTATAATAAATAAAACTAATATTTTCTCAAAGAATTTGTACCATGTAACTCAAATTTCATTAGACCTGCCAGTCAGTTTGATAAGAGGTAATTTTGAACATAATTACAACTACTAATTCTGGTATTTTTTTTCTTGATATTCCTTCTTATCAAGTACTTTTCATTTGTCCTAACAGATCCTTGATGTTCGTGAAACATCTTTAGCTGACAATGAAATATCTTGCTTTAGAAAAATTGACTCCTTGACCCATCTTTTTTTGGCGTGCCCTCGAAAGAGAACACCAAATGATGTAGATCCAGTGCAGGCCTGTTGTCAAGCTAATGGATATCATGGAAGGAGCAATCAGGTTGCAGATGGTGTTTGCTGTTCATGTAAAGATGATAATTCAAGAGAGATGATTGATGTTTGTGAAGGAGAATGTTCTCATACTTCTGAGACTGATGAAGGTGTTCCTACTCTTAATTTGCCTAGTCCCTCTGGTATTGTTGTAGTAAATTTTGTTGAAACTCTGCCAGGCATGCATGGTAGCCACCCTGAAATAAGGCAACTTCCTGCTTTTATACATGAAGACTTGCCTGAGTACCTAGAAACTGAAACTTTGATTACGGATCGGGGAATAATGCAGCTGGGTACGGGAGACATTCAGATTGTATCATCTGGTAGTGAAGATGATGATGATAATGATCACCCTTTATCACATGGGGGCAGAAATAAGAATTTGAGTAATTTAATTATAAACAACTGCAAGGGTGTTACAGACAGTTCCTTGGCTCATTTAGCTAAGTTATCTAGTATCAAATATTTAAATGTGTGTGGAACATCAGTTACTCAGTATGGGATACAGCAGTTTCTCTCTCACAGACCTGATGTTAAAATTGTTTCGGATTTTCAACCATGAAATGGTTACTCTTTTGAATTTGTTGTATTTATATAATTGAGGAGTCTTTTATTGGAGTGAAATAACTACTATATTTGTCATTTTTTATGTAGAATTGAACTATGTTTGTGAGTTAATTCAAAATGGAAGATGTCACATATAATGTTTGTGTATTCATAACTAGAATGTGAAACACATTTACTACAAATGTCTTACATCAAGAAAATATGTCTGGTTAGAATCTAAATTGCACTAAGCTCAGAAAATGCTTCCAAATGTGTATCATAATTTTAAAGCCTTGTTAAATAATTGCCTATATTATTTCTGGCCATTTTTAGCCACAACTCATTGTTCTTAAAGGATGGTGGACTGTTAAAATCCTTAACAGATTTCCGGGGTTAAATGTATCATCTTGTTCCAGTTTTGTTAAATTATCTTGATATATCAGTACAGTATTGTGAAAATGAAGTTGAAATAGGAAATCAGACTGAAAGTCTATAATTTCTGCTTCAGGTTGTTAACAATTCGAACAGATGTTATGCTGTGGTGCATAATCTTTTTTAACATTCTTCCAAGATTTTGTTTGAAAGCTTAATAAAAGCTCAAAAGAGGAACATTGCAGATTAATTTCCATTAAATTATATCATGAACTTTAATTTAGTGTTCTAGATTCCTTCTAGTAATCGATAACCTCTGATACAATCTGTTTTTACTTATCATATCATTTTTTACATAATATTCCAAAAATATCTTGTATACCTACATCAGGGGTTTCCAACTGGTGGAAACTGAGGTCATTTTCTGGAGCCCAAAACACTTTTTGAAGAAAAAAATGTTCCTTAAAAAAATACAAAAAATATTAATAGTTCTTTCAGAAAATGTAATTATTTTAATGCTAAAAAAAAGTTAACAAAGTTGATAAAGAATCAATTATCAAGAGCAAGGCATTTAAGGAATAACCACACCTAAAATTCAGGTGTGCTATTTACAATCTGATGCAATCTTACAAACAAGAAAAAAGAACACATTTGTAAACTTCTCTCCAATGAAAAAGTCCCAAATTTAAGATACTTTGGGCTAAAAATGACTTCAGTGTTTGGGAGCACGAATTTGTGTAAATGCATTTTTCCTTCCATGAAATTTATTAAGTCAGTTCAGAAGTTCACTTGTAGATCCTTACTTGGTGCATGGGATTTGAGATTGGGAGCAACAGAACTGAAGGTGGATTTTTAATCATTAGTAGACATGGCTAATTGAGCACAGTTCTTCCATTAAATTATCTTTTTGTTTTGTTTGACCAATTTATGAATTCAGTTTGTCTCTAGGCTTTTGTTTTTTAATTTAGTTTGCCATTGATCAAATATTCATTTAAATGAACATCATTGAGTGCTCTTCTTCAAAATTCAACTGGTCTGGAAATAATGGGTTGTTGTTTTTTGCATGTGAATATGCCAACTTAGACCACACGTGCATGCATCCTGTATTTACCGGGGCTCAGGAACATTATCTCGGTGGCAGGTGTATGTAATTTTTATCAGGGGGATCAGCATTTAGCTGGATCCGACTTTCATCCCCCAGGGTTGTTAGCCTTGGGGGTATGGAAGATGAAATTATGATAATTATGAAGGGGGTGAGAGGATGACACATACAGACAAATGCAAAAACACCCATGCCTGAAGAGGGTCTCAAACCCGCTGTCATCTGGTCCAAGTTCCCTATGGCACTAGTGCCTTAGCGATCACGGCCATCTGATTAGCAATAGTTATTGTTTATTTTTAATACCACTCTTTTATGCAATTCTTAAGTGTATTAAGCAATTCAAATTATTTAACCTTTGTTGCATTTAAACTATGCACATTATTTCATAACTAGTATCTCGTTTTTTGTTGTTAAAAGATTACAAACAATTGGCCTAATATTAAAGTGAGGCCCACATTCATTCCTAAGGTTTTTAATGTAGTCCTTGAGCTCTTACAAGTTGGAAACCTTTGATCTGAATTCCTTCTAAAACGTATACATATTTTTGTTATGGGAATACAACAGAACTTTAATCTTCATCGAGTTATTTCATCAAGGATGTCAATTGGTTTAGAAATTGGAAAGACATGTTGCATTTTTAGTAATTTTACTAATTATGGCCTATTGCAATATTATACAAGTTTGTAGTTTACCAAAAAAAACAATTAAGTGAGAATAAGAGTTTCATGTAATTAATAAGAGATGGAAATGAAAGTGAATTTCATTTTTAAGATTGTGTGAGAAGTTATTCTGTTAACATAATTTTTCATAGAAAGTGTGATTCACATTCTGACACATGAGTGTTAGTAGTTTATTCACTCTGATTGTTCTCTAAATTAAGAAGCAATCTTCTTTGATGTATTGTTGCAAGTTCAAAATTGATTCTATGTACTGTGTATATATGTATGTTGAACTGTTCTTTTATATTTGTGTTACCTTTCTTGCCTTGAAAAACTTTCTTCTGTGGTGGTTCAGAAAGTTCCCAGAATTTAAGTCCATAATTCCTTGTACATCTTATAGGCAAGAATAATGTATCTTATTATTTGTATTTTATGATTTATGAAGATAAGTTATTATCTAACAAACCATGTTGATATTGTTATTATTATTATTGTTATGATTATTATTATACTTGTTTATAGGGTTATTTTTATTACAATTTTATTCATTTATGTAAATTAAATGTTTTTATTGTCTCTTTGTATGTGATATTTAAAATATTAGGTGAATATAATTTGTATAATGGTAAGAGATTAGTATGAAATAATTGTTATATTCCAGAACTTTTTATTTCATCAGTTTATGGTATTTTGAAATAGATAACTGTGTATATCCTTTCATTCATTTAAATGCTTTAATTTCTTGACTTTTTTTCAAGTTATGAATGTTACTTATATAATTCATGGGGGAAAATTTGAAACTTAGTACGAAGTTACTTTCTTCATGAAAAATAGAATTATAACTAAAGATTGAAAAGATATTTTTCAGCAGAGTTATTTTGCAAAAGCAATATGATAAAACTATTTTACAGAAAATTCCTGAATTAGTGTAATCATTGGTAGGAGAATAAGAGTTCTTCTGCATGACTAGTCTTGAATTAGCAATGAAGAAATGTATAGTTAATAGACAATTTGTTTCAAACTTCATCTCCATTTAAAGTAATTAGAATTGAACTTGGTTAAAATATTTGTGCATTATAACATCATCAGATTTCCAAAGGACAATTGTGAGTTCAGAAGAATTTATATAATTTTTATACCCTGAATATATTAAATAGAATTACAAGGTAAATAATGAAAGCTTCAATGCTTCAATCATACAGATTTCTTTTATTCAATCCATTTTGTTTTAATTTGATATAT